AAATTTGAACAGGTTGCTTTTCACCCCGTCGTCCAAATCGCTGATAAAGAAATTGAACAGTGTGGGCCCAAGGACCGAGCCCTGGGGGACTCGCTGCCCACTTCCCCCCAGGTCGAATATGACCCGTCCACCACCACCCTCTGAGTATGACCCTTCAGCCAATTAGAAGTCCATCTGACCGTGTAGGCATCGATGCCACAGTCTCCTAGTTTTCTAATGAGGACGGGGTGGTCGACAGTGTCAAAGGCCTTGCTGAAGTCCAGAAAGACTACATCCACGGCGACACCTGCATCCAATGCTTTTGTGACCTGATCGTAAAAGGCAATCAGGTTGGTCTGACATGACCTGCCCCTAATGAAACCGTGCTGGTTGCCCTTAAGCATCATCCCCGATGCCGGCCCATCACAGATGTGCTCCTTGATGATCTTCTCAAAGAGTTTCCCCAGGATTGAGGTAAGACTGACGGGCCTATAGTTGCCCGGGTCCTCCCTCCTCCTTTTTTTAAAGATGGGGACCACGTTAGCCATCTTCCAATCATCTGGAACCTGACCCGAGCGCCATAAGCGCTCGTAAAGCCGTGCCAAGGGCCCTGTAATAACCCCTGCTAGCTCCCTTAACACCCTCGGGTGGAGAGCATCTGGACCTGCTGACTTGAACATGTCCAGCCCCTCCAAAAGCTCTCTAACCCGGTCCTTCTGAGTTTCAGACCAGCAGATAACAAAGCACACAGAGACACAAAGTGGGTATCATGGTGGGAATGCAATGCAAGGAGGCGAGATGCCTGGTGCGAGGCTGAGTGCCAGACCAAGTGCGGCATCCAGGCTCCCTGGCTCCTGGCCCACTGCCAGCTCTGTTATCCAGGCAGTCATTTACACGTGCATTGAAGGTGGCTGCACTGGAGAGATGGTTCAACAGGACTTCCACAAAAGTGATGCAGCTCCTCGCCAGCAGCAAACCACTTTTCTTTTTTTTTGGAAAATGTTTCGTATTCAAGGTCAAATTAACCAAATCCTCTCAACTGAGCAACACTCAACAGTTTAAATACCATATGCGGTGCTACAACTGGCAAGTATCCTCCACCCCAGACTTTTCAGCCCAGGGCTTCAGATACTCTCAAATCCATCATCCTATGTGCAGGCCCAAGCCCAGAGACTTGGGGTTTGGATGCCCACAGGTTTCGTTTGCCCTCAGCCGTATGGCTGCAGGAGCAAGCTAGGTAGGTTTCCTCCATTTCCATAAAGTCAGTGTGTAGCCAAGATCCTCCAACTGGAAACTGGCCAGTGAGAAGCTAGTTGCAAGACCTGTAGGGCATCCTGTCGGCAGTGCACTGGGCAGAGGCACACCCTCCACTACACACTGCTGTTTAAACCCATCCCGGTCTAAGCAACAGACTTGATCAGAGCCACAGGCTGCCCCAAGCACGAGTGCCACGGCCAGGGCTGTGTGTCCCGTCGCCCAGCGAGCCCGGGTGGGGCCCTGGCGGCTTTGGCTACTGCCCTGCAGCAGGGCAGGCTGGGGGAGCGGGTCCTTACCTCGGGTATAGTCCCCTGCTGTCCCCGGGGCCGAGGGCCCCGCGCTGCCTGCTCTCTGCCAGCAACGCGTCCACCTGCAACAAACGGGCCGGTCAGCGGGGCCGGAGCACGGCGGTCGCCCCCCCCCCCCCC